GTACTAAGCTTTCAGGGTCACTGAAGATGATTGAACAGCGAGAGATCTTTTTTGTGCCATCACTTACTGTGACATAGGATTTCGGTTTTTCACGGTCTCGTCTGAAGGACCGGTCTCTACATCCCGCAGTGGGATTCGAACCCGCGACGTAAGGATCAACTTCGTCAAAAAAAAAAAAGAAAAACACACAGGTGTGGTGTTCGATTATTGAAAATCTGTTTAACTAAGAACGTTGTTAAAGTTTGTTTGGGGGGTTTATGCTGTAAAACAGTATACACTTATTTAATGACTACGAGGTAAACCAGTCAAAATGTTGTCCCGAGGTAGTGGGGGAGACCTGGGAAACTGTTGCCAGAGGCCGAAGGCCGAGGGCAACAGTTTCCCAGGTCTCCCCCACTACCGAGGGACAGCATTTTGACTGTTTCACCGAGTAGTCATTGAATAAGTGTTTTATTACCTAACCTACTATATGATTAATTAAATTGGAAGAAAAACACACAAACAATCAATAAAAAGTTTTCACAACTGTTTATTCACATACTTGTCTATTAATTAGCTGAACACATGATGTAAAGATTAAATTAATATTTTTAATTTAAAGTAATACTTAATAAATTGATTGTTTGTGTGTTTTATTTAAATTTGATAAATTATAGAGCAGGTAAATAGTGATGTCGTGATAATCAAAACGCTTGAATATCACGATGACGCTTTAAACAGTCAACAGTTTATTCTGTGGACCGGTCAACAGTTCACTGTTTCATGATCACGCAAAAACATAAAGTAAACCGTGAAACGGTTCAAAATGCCTAATTGTAATTTATATAGTAGGTTAGGTAATAACAATATTTATTTTACACCGCTGTTTTTGTAAGTCAAGTAAGGTTTGGTTTGTTAAATTTTTCTTAATTTTTGCCGTGTTCTCGGAAATGGCGTCCGATAATGAGGACATGTTGTCTCTTAGAGACAGTGATACTGAGAAATTCTCAGACATTGAAGAACTTTTTGGCAATAAAGTTGCCACTAGAAGTTCGGCTAGTACTAATGCCACAGATAACAGGAAAACTACGAGGGGAGTGAAGCGTAAAACGCCTACCCCAGGTACGGTAGATAAAACACGTGCAAAAACAAAGAAATCTAAGAAACAGGTAAGCACAAATACAAACCCTCAAATAGTTCATGACATCAATTTCAATGATGGGGATTGATAAAATACTTTAGTCGATTTCATTATTGTCAAGTCAAATGGCCGAAAATACGGCGCGCAGTTCTGGTTATAATAATGTTTCAGAATCTATGGAACACAATGTCAGCAACAATAAACAAATTCCACCTTGCACTGTAACACAGGCAGATGTATACAATAAAAGTAACAAACCTGTAAAACAGTTTGTGTCTGTTCCAGATTATGATCAAAACAGTGTAGATTATAATGTTTATGACGGGCCAAATGAGTTTGATTTTGATCTGAGTTATTTAGATAACCCAGAGCCCTCACCTTCAATCCCAGGTATTAATCCAAATGATGCCTTCTAAGATGTTTTTGATAGGAAAGCTTTGCAAATTACAATAGATAATGATTTGAAAGAGGACAATGATTTGTGGGATATTCCCCAATTAAATGCTACAGAAAAAACAGGACCTAAAGTTAACGATGGGTTGGCAAAAGCTGTAAATGCAGCAATATCTATTAAGGGGGCCGACTATAGTTTTATTGGGTGAAAACTACAATAGCAAAACTCTTCATTTTTATAACTTATATAGCTTACATTAACTTCAGCGTACATGCAAAGTTTGGGGGAAATCTACCGTCCAGGTATTTTTGAGGGACCGTCTCAAAATACAGGTACATTTACTATAGGATTATATAGGAAAATGCCAATTTTTAGCACTTTAAAGCAAATTATACAAATACTACAATAGACATTTTGTTCAAACTATGATATTTGATGAGGAATACTATATTATACAATATTTGTAAGAAACACAAAATTCTACCGTCTTGTTACCAGAGGGGGCATCTCAAAATGCAAAAAATTACCAAATTTTACTATTTTTATAGAGCATGACAAAATATGACGTATGCAATGGATTCACATGAAAACATAATAACAATATTGGAGAGATTCTCAAATTTCTATGTTTTAAATTTCAAGAACGTATGTTCATTACTTTTTCTTTAATAATATTTTTATTACCCTTTTCTATAAGAGCTACAGATTATCATAACGTCAAAAACACACTGCATCGACGTCAACGTACCTATCAATTGCAAAATCGGTTAAAAAATCAGTTATATCAGTTGTTATTACAATTTTATACCTATAATTTCTTCATTTTGTTTAATTTTTATAATTAAGCGAAAAAAGTTGTATTAAAACAGTAAATACGCTTCATTTTACTATGATGCGCGAAATATTGCGCAATGGAAACTATAGTCGGCCCCCTTAAGTCCGACAAAGAAGCTATGACTGAGTTGCAAAAACAATACCCCATTCTGGGATTCAAAACCCAAAAATAGCTTGCCGTTTACAAAAAAAGTACAGCAATCAAAATTACTCCAGCCAAATGCAAAGGTACAACAATGCATACCGAGGCAGAGGCAGATATTTTTAACTTCTTTAAAAATGAGATTCGCTTCGCTGGCTCGATGGAAAATGCTATATGATACCCTTTATGAGCCTCAGGCTCATTACATAGAATGGCCCTCATCCTGTACATCCTAAAGGATGCTTGGAGGAGGGCTCATTTCACGAAATACTGCACTTGAAAATATTCCAAATTTGGACCATTTTTCCGGGTATGACATAAACAGATGGCTCTCGAGGTTCATAGTTGAAGTAAGGAAACGTGATGGGGATTTTTACCCTCCTAAATCACTCTACCTTTTAACAACGGGTACTAGTATTCTGCGCTACATGCGAGAAAACGGAAATACTCTGAACTTGTTGAAGATTCGTCTTTGTGTGTTCAAAATGCTACATGCAGTTCCGGTAAAGAAAATCATAATGTGGATGTGAAACTGAGCTTGCCAAGTCTCCCAAATTCCGGTGTTGATTTAAAATGTAGTATGGGTCCTACAGAAACGTCGGCAACAGAAATTCTGAACCAGTTGAAAAGTGCATTTAATCAGTGTAGTTTCACTTTTAATTTTGGAAATTAATAACCATGTTCAGGCATTCTTAGATTTGTTTGGACTGTAAACAAATTCAGATAAATTTGTTTGTCGTGATACAATTGCTTTATTTTGTTAATTTTAATTAATAAAGAAACCCTGTTTTGCTTTATTTTTTATAGCATGGATTATAAAAAAGAAATTATACCATGGAAGCCATGGTATAACTGCAACAATGTGAAATTATACCATGGTGTATGGGGATTTATACACAAATGCCTATAACATAGGGGCAATGGAAGTATCATAGGTTAATGAAGATTGACATCTTCCACGAACACTTCGAACAATCCTCATTTGATCGTAAAGATGTGAGAGTTCATTCATCTAATCTTTGAGACTACAGAAATAAATTTTCAAAAAAATACTGGTAAATATTTATACCAACAGATGTCGATCCTCTTTGCTTTCACTATATTATGGGGCAAATTAAGAAAACCAGACTGGAAAGTTGAAGACGGTGCTAGGATTCACGAACCCTAGGCTTTGCACTGATACTGATTGTCGTAGTCTTTTCAACTGTTCTCTGTTGTAGACGAAGCCATGGGGGCATTAAAGAATTTAGGTGAAATAGTACATTTTACAATAATTTATTTACTAAGCAGCGTTTATCAACCGTCGTCTGAGAATCGATAAAAGATATTCTGGAAAAAATGTTAATAAAAAGTAAAAATAATAAAGATTCTGTGAAAATCTCATTTCATTCTATGGTATTATAGGAGTTGTGGATACGAGATGGGTACTCCAAAGCGTAACAGACGGACGGACGTACAGACGGACAGATGGACATCTTAATTATTATATACCCTCCCACTTTTCAAGCGGGGGTATAAATATATAAATGTTGAATTATTGGCAACAGGGAAAATGTTCCCTTTGCATAGTTATTTTTAAGACCTATATCTCGACAACTTTGTATACTTGGATAAGTTTTCATATGTAAAATTGTAAAGACAATCAGTAAGATGCGGGGTGAATTATTTTAAAAGTTTTATATGTTCCTTAGTTCATATAACGTTGCTTTTTGCTCCAAGCAAGCAAAGACAGAATACTTGAATAAGAACAAATATTTTTTATTCAGTAAATGACAAGAAATATGTATAGAAAACAGGGGTTCATTCACAAAAGTGATAAAGTATACGTAGTAGAAAAGCTAGGATTTGAAAATTCTACACAGAAAAATACCTCAGAAAAAGTTAGTCTATAATTTGTTAAACAAAATTAAGATTAAGGTCAGGTGTAGAATTAGAAATAACAGATCTTGTAATTAGAACTAGAAATATATTCATTGGGTAATAATATTTGTATTCAATATGATATATCTAATCATAGATATTATTTAATTTTTCTCAAATATTATATAAAAAATTATAAAATTTGATTTTATGCTTTTATTCAACTCATCACTAATGTGTCCTTTGACATGCGACACAAAAAATATTATTTTCAATTTATGCAATTATATTTACATTTCAAGTCCTTGTCCCAGATAAAATTACAAATAGTAATTGTACTCTTTTTCTCCAAAGATCTATTGGTTCATCGATGGGTGCGGTTAAAAAATCACGCGCGGGGCGGGACAAATAGAGACAGAAGCGGGGCTTAGAACGAGTGGATTTGAGGAATCAAGAGCATGTAAATATAAGGAATAACTGTCAGACTTTTTTATTTCATGACGATGATCAATCGATTGGCTTGCGTGATAATTTTAAGCATCATAAAAACCAAAAAAATAGATAGTTTTTCCTTAAGTATACCAACAAGAAAATTAAGGTTATTACATTGGAAAGAATAGTCATATATATGAGGCTAAAGTTGAGCTTTACATATATAGAATTACAATTATAAAATTCAAAATTCAAAATGTAAATGGAATGTCTGTATAAAACAATCTCGTCTTAGAATACAGTCAATAAAACAGTTGTTGGATGATACCAGAACATATTTTCATGGTTACTTTCTCTGTCCTGTCTGAAATTTAAAAACAATAATGTCTTACATACAGACCGTTTGGCTAAAATTTGAAATAAAAATTATATGATCCATAACTTTGCATAGTTTTTGCAATAGGACGTAATCAAGAACTTCAAAATTTATGTTGAGGTTGACGTCATGGTCAGTGATCAAATGAATTAACATTTTTCTGATAGATTCATTAGAATAAAGAAAATATAGAAGATATTTTAGATTGATACTTTTATGATTGCATGAATGTTGTTTGTTAAGTTCGTTAAAATACTTACAAAAATATAATCTCTTTTTGATCGACGGGTGTATCTTAATACATGTATGTGTATAACTTTCAGCACGCTGATATACAAAGATTTTGTAAAACTTTATTATCCAAGACTCTAAGCATGCATACATGCATGCTGTTCAAGTATGCATTTGTGTCCTATAACTAAATCGGTTGTCCATCTTGATATATTTTTGTAACGGTATTCCCCTATGATCTCATTAAAAAAGTATGGCTAAGGTTAAGGAAGTCGCTTTTTAAAATAACATTTAAATCAAGAGATTTTTAATTTTTCCCCATTTGATTATAAGATTTTAATTCGGCAAATTTCAAGAATCACCATAATTTTGGTTAGACAAATATACCTCTATATGACTTATATTTTTTCTATGTAAAATTAAGGTATGTACTGCTATATCTGGCTATAGGGACGTTGGTGTGTCTGAGGTCTGTAGTATGGACTGTCCTGGTCATTCACTGGATCATTGAAAACTTGAGGCCTCTTTATAGAGAACTGAAATTACACATAAAACACAAAAATAATGCAGAGTTATAAGACTCTCATCCTACAGGAAATTGTCTTGGTAATTAATAAAACCTTCCCTTGAAATAAGAAACTTTCAGTGTTAAAGTATCAAATGTCTGCCATTATGAGGAATTCCTCAGAGCATTGACAGCATTGTTGACAACTTGTTCCTACTCACATTTTTGAATGTATCAATGTTTTCTACGGCCCCTGGATCATTGAAATATGGACTTTGGGGGAAAGACAGTGTTTTCTTCGGTACGTACATCTCAGAAATATACTTTCTTTGACGTCCAAATTGCTCATACACCTGAGAAACAAACTATTTCTATGTAGTATTCTATCCAAGTTTTGTATAGCAATTCCCTGACATTAACACAATAAGAAGACTAGTATACCTTATTTGTAACACCTAGAGCTCCAGAATATGTGTATGGCTCTGGAGATTCTTTCCTGGATATCTCGGAATTCAGCTCATAAAGTTCAAATCTATTCTTTAAAAACTCTGTGTCATATTCTCCATATTTTTCTCTAAAATACAAAACAGTACATTTTTGTGAAATGATTCTTTTATTAAATGTGGACACCAGTAAATGATTCCGGTATCTATACCGTCAACATACGGATGAGTACATTTTCCTTTTTCGTTGTTTTTTTCAATACCACAACATCAGATAATTTTAATGCATGTGAAGGAGTGAACATAGAGGCATTTTTGTCACCTGTCAGTCTTTTCGTGCTTAGAGATACGTCTACAGCAGACAGTAAGGAGAATTATGAGAACCAATCCTCCAGTGATACCGACAGACAGGCCAACAACGTATTCAAATCTCCCAGTCCTCTCTTCACATTCGGGTCCGTAATAAATCGTCATTAAACTCTTTTGACAGCTGTTTAACAAGTATCAAATAAACAATTAAAGAAGGCTAGAGAAAGGCATGCATAAAAAATGTATCATTAACATTCGGGTTCATGGAAGTTTTCACTCGTACAAGATTCTTAAGACTGTTGCAAGAAATGCTAAACGTTTTTAAAAAGCTTGCTGAAAAAAACCTGCAAGCAGTCTGCTGGACTATGGTGTCAAAGTAACAGTGCCCGTTGTTTCTACAGGTCAATCCCGAAGTGGTACATTTATGGACACATTCAGCGGTGTAGTTTGATGCAGTAGGTGTACAGTCGTATCCCGGAAAACAAAGTTGTTCAACAGAAACAGCATCACACTCAGTTTTCCCTTGTAAAAGACGTTATGTAAGTTAAATAAAATAAGTTCATACACAAACATAAACAAATCCACAGACTCGCACATACAGAGAGAGAGAGAGAGAGAGAGAAAGAGAGAGAACCTTCTGTTTGGTTGTGTAGACTTGATATAATGTCCTCTGGCTCATTTAAGACTTGTCCAGCAGTTGTATTCAGTTTGTCCAGATTGGATAGTATGTTGTCTGCCACTGCCTGTTCCAGATCGTCCAAACTCATTTGTCTACCTCTCAATTCTGCCACGCTAAAGTCAACGTCTATTCTAACAGATGTATTTACATTTTGTCTACAGAAAAAGGGATGTAAAAAATGTCTGAGTTCAGAGAAAAGTACACAGTACATATTTTTTTCGAAAATGTATGTCAAATTTTCAGCTAGAGTAGATTTTGTCCAAACACAAAAGACCAAATATATGCGTACTCTAAAGCCTTGTTTCCATCATTATTGCTGCTATGAACTATAAGATGGAGATTTCGTTTTTCCCTTCTTCTGGCGTTTGGTGATGTAAAAATTCTACAAATTGCAAATTGTCCAATACGTATATATTAAATTTGTGATTATGAAAAGTTAAAATCAATAAGCATGTATAGTAAATATATCAAGTTTAATCCATTCGAGCATATGAATTGTCAATGAAAAATGTATCATTGAGTTACCTAATATCATCAACAACATCTTCTAACCCAAGGAATATATATAATTTCATCTACAAAGAATTCATATATACATTCATATTTCTTTTGCATTTCGTTTGTATATGTGAACATTGTTTGTATGCTTTATTATAAACTGTGTTATCACATATATTATCAATGATAGGCCCTACTACATAGAAACAACATGTACCTGATGTTTCAAGGATTCCGTAAAGTTAAGACTGCTTGAAACGTTACCGCTAAACATAAAAATGAAATGGATCTGGAAAACTGCTCCTCCAACTAAAAATAAATAAGAATAAAGTTAATCTAAAAAGCAATCATTTTTTAGATATTTTCGGCCGATGGGGGAAAATTAAGTTTTAGACAAACATCGTTTTTATTTGCAAAAGTGTCACTATCTAACCAAAAAAAAACATATTTACAGCTGTATTTTTAAATGACTTACAAATTGAAATCTACCCTGATAGGCTGAAAAAATAAGTTTTAATATCCTTTTTGAAACTAGGTAATGAAGTTCATTCTCTAAGGTTAAAAGGCGGAGAGTTCCAAAGACTCAATGTGACAGTTTTCCCAAAACATGTACAGGGTGATCCAAAATATCTGATACTACTTTGTCTTTCAATAACTTTGTCAATAATCGTTCTGAAAATTTCATTTATACATCATTTTAAACTGCTAATCATGTACATACTCATAATATAATATCAATTATTTGTTAAATATTTAATATATGTTTTCAAAAAGGCCACATGCAGCAGAGGAAAAAATATACACGTAATCGATCAGAATAAAATTTTTATTGTTCTTATCCCTTTGAATCTATAAAGAGGCTGCTTTTGTTTTAAGAAGGAAAACTAATTATAAGACTTCATCTGATAAAATTATGTCTTACCGATAATGGGTTCCACTGGGATTTCGTTATTCCCAGAATCTCCTTGAGATGTAGGATCGCTTGTTGTCCCTAAAGTAAGAGCTGTTGTTTCACCTTGTATTTCTGTTGTAGAAGATAAATCATCACTTGTAGGAGATGTAGTTACACTTGATGGTTGTGTTGTAGAAGGTGTAGCACCACTTGTTTTTGTTACAGAAGGAGATGTAGTTGATGGTTGTGTTGTAGAAGGTGTAGCACCACTTGTTTTTGTTGCAGGAGGAAGTGTAGTTATACTTGGTGATTGTGTTGTTGAAGGTGTAGCACCACCTGTTTTTGTTAATGAAGGAGATGTAGTTGATGGTTGTGTTGTAGAAGGTGTAGCACCACTTGTTTTTGTTGCAGGAGGAGATGTAGCTACACTTGATGGTTGTGTTGTAGAAGGTGTAGCACCACTTGTTTTTGTTGCAGGAGGATATGTAGTTGATGATTGAGTTGTAGAAGGTGTAGCACCACTTGTTTTTGTTACAGAAGGAGATGTAGTTGATGATTGAGTTGTAGAAGGTGTAGCACCACTTGTTTTTGTTACAGAAGGAGATGTAGTTGATGGTTGTGTTGTAGAAGGTGTAGCACCACTTGTTTTTGTTGCAGGAGGAGATGTAGTTACACTTGATGGTTATGTTGTAGAAGGTGTAGCACCACTTGTTTTTGTTGCAGGAGGAGATGTAGTTGATGATTGAGTTGTAGAAGGTGTAGCACCACTTGTTTTTGTTAATGAAGGAGATGTAGTTGATGATTGAGTTGTAGAAGGTGTAGCACCACTTGTTTTTGTTGCAGGAGGAGATGTAGTTACACTTGATGGTTGTGTTGTAGAAGGTGTAGCACCACTTGTTTTTGATGCAGGAGGATATGTAGTTGATGATTGAGTTGTAGAAGGTGTAGCACCACTTGTTTTTGTTACAGAAGGAGATGTAGTTGATGATTGAGTTGTAGAAGGTGTAGCACCACTTGTTTTTGTTACAGAAGGAGATATAGTTGATGGTTGTGTTGTAGAAGGTGTAGCATCGATTGTTTTTGTTGCAGGAGGAGATGTAGTTACACTTGATGGTTGTGTTGTAGAAGGTGTAGCACCACTTGTTTTTGTTGCAGGAGGATATGTAGTTGATGATTGAGTTGTAGAAGGTGTAGCACCACTTGTTTTTGTTGCAGGAGGAGATGTAGTAACACTTGATGGTTGTGTTGTAGAAGGTGTAGCACCACTTGTTTTTGTTGCAGGAGGATATGTAGTTGATGATTGTATTGTAGAAGGTGTAGCATCGCTTGTTTTTGTTGCAGGAGGAGATGTAGTTACACTTGATGATTGTGTTGTAAAAGGTGTAGCACCACTTGTTTTTGTTGCAGGAGGATATGTAGTTGATGATTGAGTTGTAGAGGGTGTAGCATCACTTGTTTTTGTTGCAGGAGGAAGTGTAGTTATACTTGATGATTGTGTTGTAGAAGATGTAGCATCACTTGTTTTTGTTGCAGGAGGATATGTAGGTGATGGTTGTATTGTAGAAGGTGTAGCATCACTTGTTTTTGTTGCAGGAGGAAGTGTAGTTATACTTGATGATTGTGTTGTAGAAGATGGAGCATCGCTTGTTTTTGTTGCAGGAGGATATGTAGTTGATGGTTGTATTGTAGAAGGTGTAGCACCACTTGTTTTTGTTACAGAAGGAGATGTAGTTGATGATTGAGTTGTAGAAGGTGTAGCACCACTTGTTTTTATTGCAGGAGGAGATGTAGTTACACTTGATGGTTGTGTTGTAGAAGGTGTAGCAACACTTGTTTTTGTTACAGAAGGAGATGTAGTTGATGATTGAGTTGTTGAAGGTGTAGCACCACTTGTTTTTGTTGCAGGAGGAGATGTAGTAACACTTGATGGTTGTGTTGTAGAAGATGGAGCATCGCTTGTTTTTGTTGTAGTAGGATATGTAGTTGATGATTGTGTTGTAGAAGGTGTAGCACCACTTGTTTTTGTTGCAAGAGGAGATGTAGTTATACTTGATGATTGTGTTGTAGAAGGTGTAGCATCACTTGTTTTTGTTGCAGACGGAGATGTAGTTACACTTGATGATTGTATTGTAGAAGGTGTAGCATCACTTGTTTTTGTTGCAGGATGAAGTGTAGTTATACTTGATGATTGTGTTGTAGAAGATGGAGCATCGCTTGTTTTTGTTGCAGGAGGATATGTAGTTACACTTGATGGTTGTGTTGTAGAAGGTGTAGCACCACTTGTTTTTGTTGCAGGAGGAAGTGTAGTTATACTTGATGATTGTGTTGTAGAAGGTGTAGCACCACTTGTTTTTGTTGCAGGAGGATATGTAGTTGATGGTTGTATTGTAGAAGGTGTAGCACCACTTGTTTTTGTTACAGAAGGAGATGTAGTTGATGATTGAGTTGTACAAGGTGTAGCGTCACTTGTTTTTGTTACAGAAGGAGATGTAGTTGATGATAGAGTTGTAGAAGGTGTAGCACCACTTGTTTTTGTTACAGAAGGAGATGTAGTTACACTTGATGGTTGTGTTGTAGAAGGTGTAGCACCACTTGTTTTTGTTGCAGGAGGAGATGTCGTTGATGATTGAGTTGTAGAAGGTGTAGCACCACTTGTTTTAGTTCCAGGGGGAGATGTGGTTGATGATTGTATTGTAGAAGGTGTAGCATCACTCGTTATTGTTGCAGGAGGATATGTAGTTGATGGTTGTGTTGTAGAAGGTGTAGCACCACTTGTTTTTGTTGCAGGAGGAGATGTAGTTGATGATTGTATTGTAGAAGGTGTAGCATCACTTGTTTTTGTTGCAGGAGGAGATGTAGTTGATGGTTGTGTTGTAGAATGCGTAGCATCACTTGGAGACTCGTTATCACTCACAGTCTCTGCTGTCCGTGGCCTTAGAGTCCGGAACGCTGGAAAACTCTTTAATTCTGTTATATAGAAATTGACACTTGAAATCGTTGTACAATTTTTTTTATATTTTTTATGGGGGGGGGGATGTTTGACCATTAAGAGAAATTTGATTAAATGTGCTGGTACTTGTTTCATGTGAAGCTCTTGTCTTAAGAAGATCTCAAATGACTGACCTGATAGTAAATCAGAAGAAAGTGATTCGTCTACTGACTCTATCCACACAACGTTATTTTGCATTGTTAGATGTGCATTCGTAATTACTATTAAAATTCCTAATAGCGCTGAAAAGAAATAAAGTTTGAATAAAAATACAACCAATACGTTGTACTGAGAGTTTATCGTCAACATTGTATGAAAACAAACCCGTATTTCCATTAAATATTTTTTTCAGCCATTTGTTTGAAATATAAATTAAATCATAGAATCATTGTCATGCGCGAATCTAAATGGGGTGGGGTGGGGGTCCGGACCTTTCCCCAGCTGGAATTTGCAGCAGATTTATTCTAAAAGAGTATGTACTGAAGCAAATATAAACTGACTATGGACAACTCCTGTAAAACGTGGACCCCAACACCACCATTAAGTAATAGTTTTTTTTTCATTTTTGGGGAATTGATATTATTTTGTTTGAATTTTTTTCTTTTAATTAATTTTTTGTCTGTCAAGAAATTTCATGGGTATGTTTAAAATAAATTGACGTGGTGGACCCCCCCGCCCCACTCTCCGCGCCTGATTGTTTGCTTATCATGGTAGAGGTTTTCAAACTCTAAACTCTCATTGAAATTTTTTATAGCTCCAAAGTTCTGAATACTAGTTACATAATTCTATTTTGCTTTTATTACTTATTACTTCGTTTTCTTTCATCCAGGTCAAGCAAATATATATGTAATGTGAAAAGTGAAGAATACAAATCTTGAAGCCCAAGAGTAGTCAGTATCCACCGTCAAACGGAGTAATCCTTACTCAAAATGGCCTAACAATTAATGGGAAACATGTCAGTAAGCATTTGTCAGTAGCTTGCTTCAGTTATAAAATTTGATCGTAGTCCAGAACCTTGATTGTCCATTTAATTTGGAGACAAAAACACCATACCGGGGTATGGAGGTGATGGTATATTGCATACGATGAAAGAATATAATTTGTGAGAGACACATATCAAAATAAGAGACCAATTTGACATTTAAAGGAAAAACATTAATAATAAAAAATCTTGTAATTCCTATTATTGGTTATGAAATTGAAATGAGAGGCATACCAAATATTTACAGCAAAAAAATTAATGACATTATCTGGTCTTATATATGGGATCAGAAAGTAAACAAAGTAGATAGAAATGTTTGTTGTCTTAGTAAAGCTGAGGGGGGATTAGACATGATAAATTTATTACATTATTAAAAGTAAACAAATTAAAACAATATACAAAATAATGCACTCTGAACTTGAAAACTGGAATGCTATAGGAAAGCTCTGGCTAAAAAGTAAAGATATTCATCCAAAACAGGAATATCTTATTTGCAATTGCTCTGATCTTATGAACATATCTCTTAATAAACTACCAACATTTTATAAAAATGCATTATTGGCATACAGTGAATTTAGATCACACTTTCCACCAGAAAGCAAAGATGAAGTTTTGAAATGTCAGATTTTTGGAAATAAAGATATACAATTTCGAGGCAAAAGCCTATATATAGAGTCTTTTATTAAATGTGGTCTACAAACTATTGGAGATATTTGGGATAATGATACTAAGACTTTTAAGACTAATGCCTACATATTTTCAAAACTACTTGATAAAAGAAGTTGGATTTTTGAATACAGTAAAATTAAAACCGCTATACCTAAAACCTATCTTGACATTCTAGAAGGGAGAAATACTGTAAATAGAATAGATGATGAAATAAATAATCTTTTTGTGATGTATGATAATTTTTTATTTGTAAGAAAAACAAACAAGTTCATATATTTTGAAGATATAAAACTCAAAGATATACAAAGAGTATTAAACAAAAATATCACTCCAAAATCCCAACAAAAATTGGAGAAACTGATGCAAACTGAAATTACATGGAAAAAGATTTGGGGCTCAGTTTATGAAGTTAGGTTAAAACAAAAGATTCAAGAATTTCAATGGAAATGTTTGCATAACATCTTATACACTGAAGAAAAATTAAGAAAAATGGGTTTTTCAAATGGTAATTGTTTTTTCTGTAAATCAAATATTGAGAGTCAGAAACATCTATTTTATGAATGTAAACATGTCAAACCACTTTTAGAATTGGTACAAAATATAATGTTAAAAATCTCTGTAATAAATCCAGTCAAAGTTGATGTATGTATTGTTTTATTGGGATTCGCAGGAGAACCCAAAAATGTTCGAATATGTATTAACACCTTGATTTATATATACAAGTGGTCAATATGGAAAACAAGAAACAGCATTAAGTATGAAAATAAAAATATTACAAATTCAGCACTCTTGAGTGATTTCAAGAATGAAATGAAATCAATCTTTCAACTCTTAAGAAATAATAAGAGTAACTTCAACAGAAATTTAAAATTAACATTTAATTTAGATATGCTTACAGACTTTGATTAAATGTTACCTGTTTTCGTAAGTACAGATTTATATATAGTAATACAATGATGTTTTCATTTTATTGTCACATTTTCACCAAAACTGATTCCATATTTATATATACGTATGTTATTTGATTTATAATATGTATTAGATGTACAATTATGTGTGACTTTGTATTTAAATAATAAAGCACCCTGCGTGGTGCTGTAGGGATTATTATATGTATAGAGTGTATAGAGGGAGCTTAGTCAGGGCCCCATCCCTGGCAGCTGCCCAACTTACCAGCTGTCGACTGTTATAGGTCTGGGAAATAAATGATGAGAAAGAAAAAAAAAAAAAAAAAAAGAGACCAATCATTCTTTAATTCAACACATTGTTTTAGAAATACCTCAATAGCATTTCATCATTTCATTACAATGAACCTATCATACACGATGTCTCCTTTGATTCGCTACTACTTTATGTAAATCAACATTATTTTAGGTCTATTCTTCACCTACATTAGGTCTGCACCAAACTTTACTCTGTTTTCTTCACTTTGTAAAAGTCAAGGAAAGGCTATAATCCTTCGAAAAACGCTGCTCAAATAACCCGTTTGTTACGAAAGCCAAGAAGGCTCATTCGAGATTCGAGGTTCGAAATACGAAATTCGAGATTTGAAATACAAGATTCGAAATTCGAGATTCAAGATCCAGATTAACCAATCAAAAGCGGGTTCAACATTTGATTACTCCCCTTTATTTTGATTTTACTATCAAGAAATAGTTTAATATATTAATAACAAATGAGTCATTTGATTAAATTACAACACAAGAAAAAGTGTTATATATATTAGAAGGAAATTTGAATATCATTGGATTTTTGATCAGCAAGATATACTTCAATTTATATTATGGCGTCTTTAAAAATATTAAATAGAATACATATATCAGGAGTATATTTATTTTTGTATTGTCTACTTTGTTTCCGGCGTTGATGACATAAAAACAAAGTTATAAATAAGTGTCAAGTGTATAAAGATTAATAATAACCCCATCCCTACCAATCCCACCTGCCTATTTTCCTAACACACTGAAAATTTTACTTTGAAAAATTTGAAAGGCGATCGACGTAGTATTGAAAAACAAAAATCGCATTCGTTTTCCTGATAGAGGAAACACATAAAAATTAAGTATTCATTACTTATCTCAATCTAAGGCTTTGATTTCTTGAATTAAGGAAAAATTATATATACAATACAGATTGGCAATATGAATTAAAATAAATGCGGCATTTATTCTATCTTATATCAATAGTAGATGAGTCTAAATTAGATGCAGAACTATAGCGTTATTGTTTTAAATTTTAGTCTCTGACCATACCGTTATGACCAAAGACTAAAATATACTCGTGAAATCTTGTAACGCTTCAGTTCGATTCAGCAGTCAAGTCTCACTACACAAATGTACCCTTTTAAATGTACTGAAATATATACCCTTGAATTACTGTGCAGTGTAGAGACGATTCATGATACCAGTATTTCATATTTAATTATAATCAAATACAATATTCTCCCTCAGCAATGATCTGATATGTATAAAAAAAAAAGTCGACCTACTTGTTCCAAAAGTCGACGATAAGACCATATAATATTCCATACATACGCATTGTAAAATTTTTTAATGACAAAAATAAAATCATATATATTCAAAATGTAATCCAAATTTTATTTTTATTTCGTTTTAATACATGAAACATTTTTTCTTGCATTATCATTTTAGCAAATGACCCATTTGTTATAGGTATATTAAACGATTTCTTGATAGTAAAAACATAACAAAGAGGAGTAATCAAATGTTGAACCCACTTTTGATTGGTTAGCTTGGATCTTGAATTTCAAAACTCGAATTTCGAATCTCGTATTTCGAAACTTGAATCTCGAATGTACGAAAGCCAAGAAGGCTCATTCGTACGAAAGCCCAGAAGGCTCATTCGAGATTCAAGTTTCGAAATACGAGATTCAAATTTCGAGATTCGAAATTAGAGTTTCGAGATTCAAGATCCAGATTAACCAATCAAAAGGCTCATTCGAGATTCGAGGTTCGAAATACGAGATTCGAAATTCGAGTTTCGAGATTCAAAATCCAGATTAACCAATCAAATGCGGGTTCAACATTTGATTACTCCCCTTTATTATGTTTTATCTATCAATAAATCGTTTAATATATTTATAACAAATGAGTCATTTGATTAAATTACAATGCAAGAAAGAGTGTTATATATATTAGAAGGAAAGTTAAATAATCATTGGATTTTTTATCAACAAGATATACTTCAATTTATATTATGACTTCTTAAATATTAAATAGAATACATATATCAGGAATATATATATTTTTTTTCATTGTCTACTTTATATACAGGGTTGTTGATATAATAATAAATTTATAAATAGTGACTAAAGATTAACAAAATCCTCACCCCTACCCGCCACACCTGCCAATTTTTCCCGACACTGAAAATGTTACTTTAAAAACTTGAAAGGCAATATAGCCTTGATAAATAAAAACCGTGTTCGTTTTCCTAAAAGAGGGAATACTCAGTACATAAAAATAAAGTTTTCAATTACTTATCTTCATCTAAGGCTTTGATTTCTTGAATTAATTAACAATTATAT